TTCGATTTCAACAATACGTTCGCTTTTTGAAAAGCTTTTTTATAATGTTGTTGCAGCGAGAATAAAGTAATTTTTCTGAACTCTATTTGCTTCATTGCTTCACTGGGGCTTCGATATGGCTCTTCATTAAAGTTTTACCAGACATTCAAGTAGCCCAAATTTCGGGAATTTCGCGATGCCGTCATTGATTTTTTTATAGTTATTATATAACGCTGTAAGAGCGAAAAGAAATTGCATTTCACGCCTAATATTTTAGCCAACCCCGTCGCTTGGACGTCATAGCTGGTTTATCTGTACTTATAAGTACAGTTCCATGTTAGATGTGTTTAATCGCCACAAAAACGATGAAATAATCACTTAGAAAACTTCTGTAGAATTGATGTAAGCAGAACATAAAAACTAGCTGTCGAAATCCTCCTATGTTCAGGTGAAAAAAACAAATCGTTACATTGAGGAGTTATTCCAACTGTTGCTGATCAGTTTTTCCTCATTTTTATCTATATTTTGATGCCATTCGATAACCTGAGAAGCACTGATGTTGATAATGAGCTTGTTATGAAGAAAAAAGTCTCTCATAGTGTCCTTTACTAAGCAAAGGAATAACTTTCTGCTTTCGGTGTAATCGGCTCAATGTTGAACTTATACAGCGGTTTACTTGGAAGTTATACAGTAAAATTTTGATTTGAAGGAAGTTTTTTGCAATGAAACGATACATCTTTTTAGAAGGAATTTGCTACAAGTTTAGTCCTAGTAAGGAAAAGATCAAGTGTCCTGAACTCTCACTTTTCATTACAAAGGCTACACGCTTGTGATAACAGCGAATTCCAGCACATTTTTTCCTAATTCTATTGACGACATCGTAAGAGTTCAATTCAGAAAGGCATTTTGACGTTACAGGAATCTCAGAAGATATCATACGATCATACGTCGGATTTTTCATGTCCAGCAGAAACAGGCCTTGACAGAGTTTGCATTCATCACTTGTGAGGTACTTCTGCGAAAGGAGTGCGATTTCTATACCTTAATTTTCGGAATTCACTAATTTTGCAAGTTGTTCTGCGCAAGATATCAAGCAATAACAACTTGTACAATTTAATATCAGTCTACAGTAAACTGCCTTTACTCTTGAATCAACACCGGTGGAACAGTTCAAAGGCGTAACGTTGAATCCATACTTCATATGATCAAAAAGTTGTACTTCCTTCCCTTTCACTGAAGTAGAAATGGCAGATCACTTTCTTCATTGCTCCTCAGCTTGAAGAGAGACTGTGGTAGAACATTGGAAACCGACTATTTTGGTATTGTAATATGCAATTGATAACTTTGGGTGTTTCTTGAAATTTAATACTTCATTGGAATAGCTGCGACGTTCGCAATGAAATTAATTTGATTTGCTTTAACACTATGTTACTTCCTATGGTGTGCCCTATATGATTATCTCGCTTTTTATTTCGATTTTCCTACTCCGACGTTGAAGATAGGGTTTTTGTAATTGACACAATGGATGGTCTTCTTTGTTATGATGTCTATAAGCAGCAACTGATACCCTATCTCAATTTAACCAAGCATAAAGAAAGCGCTTATTTTTAAATGAAACTGAAGCCTTTTACGATGACCGTGAGGGACAGATTCAGCAGAATTTCTTCAGTTGCGAATATAACTTAATTGCAGCTTGCGAGAACCAATGCTTATCTATGTGCAGTGACAATAATCCGTACTGACAAGATAGATCATTAGCACAGAAATGTTTTTAGCTCCCTTCTGCACTTGATTCGTCTGTACTTTGACTACGAAAACTCTCACCGAAGCATACCTTGAACATTGCACGACAGTCTCCGCTGCCCCAAAGGAAAAAACGTTAGCCATAACAAACTTGTAACAATCTCCTGAAAGCCATTACAGAGCTTAATATTCTCGTTGAGCCTCGATAAATTAGTAACTGTTCATATGTCCACCTGAAATAAGAAACGCCTCCGACTCTCCAAAGTGACGTTTTTGTTTTCGGTGATGGTTTAGCGTAAGGTTTGCCATTTTCATATTTGAGTAGCCAAGTTTCAAGAGCGTAGTAGATTACTAGGGCGATTTTCATTATTATTTCCTTTGTGTAACCTGACAATCATTTAGAGCCTTTCATGAGGCATGCTGGGGGCACTTTTACAGTGCAAGAGATGTGTTTCGGTATTGCAGCCTCGTCAGTTGCACGATGCCTTCCGATTCAGTCAGTTCCTCTGAAGATATCTCCTTTGTAGAAGAGCTGGAGCCAAAATGTTTACACGTGCCTCTAAGTGAGGAAATCACCCAAGTGTTATACACTCGATTATTCGTGCATGGCTTGGCATAATTGTCATAACCTCTCGTTCGAAGTGTTTTTGAGACCTCGCACGAAATATTGTTATCTGACAATGAATTTTGAGCCTTTCATGAAATTCGTAACATGACTGTTGTACCTTTCTCTCAAAACCAGAAGTATGACAACCATATTTCATTAGCGGAATGGCCGATACGGCTCGGAAAGCTTGGGATCAGCGACGAGAGCATCCGAAACATTGTCAAGAATGAGCTGAAGCTGCACTGCTGCAAGATTTCTCGTGTTCATCTCATAAACGAAAAGATAAAAGGATTTCAAAGGCTCTCCCAATGATTCATTTGTACGTTTGGTGTTCGTTTATCGTAGGTACTCTTCACGGATGAGGAAATATCACGGACTGATCACTCCACAGTCGCCAAATTCGACGTCAATTTTTCAAAAAGGGTCAGCAGAAGTTCACAGCAGCAAAAACCAAAAGCCGCGGTCACCGTGATGGTCTAAGCCGGCATTAGCGCTACCACAAAGGCGCAATTGTCTTTACCAAGAGAAAGGTTGAAATCAGCGCTGTCAGCTCTAGCAGCAAGTTATACGGGGCCTACTGGAGCCTTGAAATACTCAACACTTTGGCGTCGTCGGATTTATGCTTCAGCTTTTGGGGCAAAGACATTTGGCCGCCAAACTCGCCGGATCTCAGCCTAGTGGATTCCCTGTGTGGTCCGTACTGGAGGAGAATGTCTCCGCTAATTGCTGCACTACGGTAGGCCCTTTTGAAACGGCTTTGTCACGCGCTTAGGCGGAGTTGTGGTGAAAACATGTGAAAGGTAATTTTCGAAAGCGACTCCGTAAATGCATAGAGGCCAAAGGAGGCAATTTCGAGAATTTGTTACAAACTTTTTTGTCTATTGCTCTAGCTGTCGGTCTAATTAAATGCAGTTCATCCTTTAGTTGAATGAATTTGCTTGTTTATATAGTGGCTTTTAGTGATAAAATATCTCAAAAAATTGTCGGAATGTTTCTCGCCCTTGTACATATATGATGATCAATTCAAGCGTCAGAATTTTCTACGGTGTAAAACACGCAACAATAGAAATGTAGGAAAGTATTTGTAAACTAGATTTTGAAAGGACATTGTTAGTAAATGACGGAATATTACGAAAGAGACTCCTGTGAGCTTTTTTCTTGTAAATCTAGTATAAGGAATAGCCATATGTCGCAGAATCTCCTGATTTTCAACAAAAATACCACATATTTCAAGAAATGAACATATATCCAACTGTGATATAGCTCGAGGATGTTAGGTGGTTGCAAGACTTTTTGCATCGGACGGAACTCGCAACCCGTATCTCATCTTATCCGAGCCACGCGTGCTCTCACCCGTTGCACCGGCAACGCCTGTTTCTGCACCGCTTTCTACGCCATAACGCATCAATCTGTAGGCAACCAGCCGTAAACGGTGTGGTCTGGTAGTCAATATCGACAAGAACGCAATTACGCGTCTACTATGGACATTTATGTTAACGACAATTTTTTTAATATTCAATCGCTTTATAGAGGTGGTATGATGTAACAAATACACCCAATGATGTGTGAGTGAGGTGCAGAACTCAAAACAACGCTCAAATAAAAAGAATTCTTGCTTTCTAAACATATACATCCAATATCTGCCAACGTAACTTTAGTCACTGTCGATATCGACTACCAGGCCAAACCGTTCACTGTTGGTTGCTGACAGGTAGATATGTTGTAGCGTAGAAATGTGGTGGTAAAAGAGGAGTTGGTAGTGCAACTGATTCAAGCACACGCCTTCGGCTAGGGTAAAGTAAGGGTTCCTGTGCCGCCTGACGCAGGAAGTTTTGCACATCACCCAACATCATGGGTATATTTGTAAAATCATTCCACCGCTATGGAGCGGTTGAATAAAAAAGATTCTTGTCAATTAACTTTTTTGGCAATTATTTCTTTTTCTAGTGCATGTTTCTGTAGTCGTTCCACAACTTGAGAAATGCCAATTTTGGTAATAAGCTTAATTTGCGGATCAACTGTTATCCTGTTCGTCTAACCAATAAAAGGCAACGTTTTGCAATCACAGTCCATTTTTTTTAACCTCACAGGGAGATTCTTGGAATCACATAAGAGGAATTCATTCCTAAGCAAGTTCTGTCGATATCAGAAATAGATTATTATTAGCGATACTCATAACAGCGTATTTATAGCAAAAAGTTCACTCAATTTTCTTCAGAAAAATTCCACTATTCCTTACGTACTGAATGGAATGCAATCGCATTGTGTGACATGTGATCGTGATTTCTTTCCCTTTCACCCAGCAGAGCTTTTTTCATTCGACTACTAGTAATCATTCAATATCTCGTAATAAAATTAATTCTAAGCGTACTTTCATCACTACAAAAAATCTTTGTAGCAATGAATAGATTTGGTTCGCCTTTGACACACGAAACGAATGATAAACATGAGTAAAATATGGATGATTATAGGAAAGGAAAGCGTGAAATTGTTGCATGAGTTCGAAATATGATGTTTTCACAAGCACCTGTGCTTTCGCTTAGAAAAATGTGGCATTTACAAAAAGGGTTAGCATTATTTCTAGGTCACAGCGATGCAACAAAATTCATATAAGAATATAAGTGAGTTTATATAAAGTACCAACTGATGATGAGTGATGTGCAAAAGCAATTGCGTCAAGTGGGATTCAAACCCACATTTCACCCTATCAGGGAGCACGTGCTGAACCGTTGCACTACACACATGCAGGCAACGGTCCAGCACGCCTCCCGGATAGGGTGGAATGTGGCTTCGAATCTCACCTCACGCAAACGTTTTTGCACATCACCCTTCATCACTGGCTATACTATAACATCTAACAACCGCTAAAGGCTGTCAAGTAAAAGGTATTCTAATTTATATTGAGTTTGCTTCGGATTATCGCTAAAATGATATCGCATTGCAATGTGCAGCTTGATGATCAGATCACTTCTTTATGAGTTCATGGCATTTTTAACCAAATATCCTTATTGAGCTCCCTTAAGTTATATTTCTGACAATTAAACTATCCCTAGTGACGATAAAAATCCGCATTCTACTGGAAAACTACCACATTGTTGTCGTAACGCCCTCCTCCTCCCACCCGCGTTCGCCGCGCATTGTTGTCGCTTGCCGCATAGGAAATCAATGCGGTTTCCAACGTGTTGAGTAATAATAATGTCCAAGTGTCGAGAAGCTCCCTCAACGAAACACCATATATTTTCGTAAACAAACATATTTCCAATGTTATATAACACTTGTTTCTATTTTCAGTTCTTTCTTTGTGGTCATTCGATAGCTTGAAAGAGCGATTTGATGTTCAGCTGGTTTGTGAAACGACCTTTAGACTGCATTTTATTATCGGAGAAAGATAACGTTTTGCTTTTGGAGTGCATTGATCCAACCCCACAGCGGATTTCTTCCTATTATATGATACTTTTGGAAGCAAGCTTTGCCGTTTTAAGAAAATAGATCATTATTGAAGGGATTCATATATATATAATGTACTCGTGCTTCCTTAAAATTCTTCCGGAGAGACGAAGCTTTTTCACTAGAATATGAGAATAATTTAATAGCTGGAATTCTGTTTATTACCATACAGGTCTCTAAAATAATTTTCATAGTGCGTTCTGGTAACGAAATAAAGATGACGTTTCGCTTTTGAAGAGCGCTGTTTCAACTTTGCACCGAACATCCTATTATTACTTACTTGAATACTTGGATAGCTCATCATTAGTGATAGTGCGAGCTCCAGCGCAGGAAAACGTGTTGGTTAGACTGTTTTGTCTTTGGAGTCCCAATGTAAACTTATACCGTGACCTCCTCATGTCGTCACCACATAACAGCCATTCTTTGTATTTAACCGCTTCTAGCGGTGGTATGATGTCTCAAAGATATACCCATTGAGTAGAATGATGTGCAAAACTTTCGCGCTAGCGGGACTAGAACCCGCACCTCACTCTTTCCGGGAATGCGTGCTCTATCTGTTTACACTACTGGCGCCCATTTAGAAAGAGCGATGTGCAAAATGGGTGTCAGTAGTGTAATGGATAGAGTACGCATTCCCGGAAAGAGTGAGGTGCGGGTTCTAGTCCCGCTAGCGCGAAAGTTTTGCACATCATTCTACATCAATCCGTATATATTTGAAACATCATACCACCACTAGAAGCGAGTTTAAATAGAAAGAATTTCATTTGATCTTCATACCAATATCTGTCAGCGTGACTGGGTACAGCGTGGAAACCGACTACCCGGGCCAGGCCGTTGACGGCTGGCGGCTGACAGATAGACTGCGCTGCAAAATAGAAATGAGCAATGTGCAAAATGGGCGACAGTAGTGTAACGAATAGAGCACGCATTCCTGGAAAGAGTAAGGTGCGGGTTTTAGTCTGCCCGACGCGAAGGTTTTGCACATCACTCTACATCAATGGGTACTTTGCTCGAAGCACTCCGCATTTCATAACTAAAACTAGCACGGAAACTTTGTGTTCATACCAATGACAAATAGGTCTGAATAGTAGATAGAAAATGTACCATGGAACGAGAGGAAAACATCTGTTCTATAACTATGCAGAGCTCCTAGGTCGTGAAGTACACTAACAATCAAAAATTGTTAGAAGTTCCGGCGAGGTGACGTCGCATGGGGTGTACCATCACTCTTCTTGATAAGCAATGGATTAGTTCTAAATATTCATACACTATCGCGACTTTTAGCTAATGTATGGAATTAAAAGATATCAAAATAGGGGAGCGATGTTATAACATTTTTTCTTCAGAATACAGAATAAAAATATGCTAGATTAGTTGACTACTTATTCTTGTAGCAATAGATAAAGGTGAAATGTGGCTGAACATTTAAAACAAGAGAAAAATATCAATTGAATTGTGAACAGTAACAAATAAAATAGCATAATTCTCTGTAAAAGATACAAAGTACTGGGATCCACACAGTGAAAAAGACACTGAGATGACGGATCAAATAAAGTGCTAAAAATCCATTGTTTGTGATTGTTTTGGCATGTTTCGACAAAGACTTTATGAAATCTCTTCTATCATATCAAACCATACACCGATGATGAATTTGAAACATGAAGCAAACAAAGTGTTTTTGTTCACCACTCAATTCTCTTAGTTATATAAGAACGTAATAACACTGCGAAAAAAAGCAGTGAAAATACTGTAATTTCGAAGTATTAGTTAATTAGAATAGCTATCAGCTCAACTGGGTTTATAAAGCGAAATCGCATACCCGACCAAACCTGTCAAAGGTTGGTGGCTGATAGCTAACATTGAGATGTAGAAGAATGATGTGGTCGGGCAAATGTGCCTCAGTGGTGTTGTGGTAGAGCACGCGTCCCTGGATAGGATGAAACGTGGGTTCGATTCCCGCTTCGCCCGTGTTTTTTGTTCACCACTCAATTTTCTTAGTTATATAAGAACATAATAACACTGCGAAAAAAGCAGTGAAAATACTGTAATTTCGAAGTCCGAATACATATAACGAGAATGCATCACTGTGAATAACATGCTCTATCTACAAGGTCGATCGCGCCGACTGCCGTATGAGCCACTCGCGGAACGCCGCTTGTTATCAAAGGCCATCTTGATTAGCTTAACAGTTGTCGGAAATGCTGAATCGAGAAATTGGGGTTATTCTCGTTAAGACTGCATAGAAATCGGCCTTCAAAATGTCGATACGTAATCCAGCAGTTGAAGAGTTCGATGCTGAAGTCTAGTAATGATCTACATTCTTAGTAATAAAGTGCTATATCATCCCAGCTTATGAGAAAACATTTAGAAGATTCGACAGCGTTTGAATGCTTATTCGAAGGATCTTTTTACTCCACAGTTTTTACATATGATCGATTTGAAATACACATTTTATACACATTTTATCAATTCGTAAAGAACGGCAACAATGGCAACAAGAAACAAAGATAAGATCGTGAACTTCTTGTTATTGGCAACAATAAGCGTAGAATGCACCCTGATAACACTCAGCTCCTTCTGGACAAAACTGATGTTCACACGTTTTGCCAAACAAAGTCATCTAAAAAATGGCCTGTTGTTTGATAAAATGATCTGAGAAAACTAGGGCAGAATACAACATGCTGTGATATAAGATAGAAAGCGGAAGCGAACTAACAGAGTACTCCACGGAAGTATCCTTGACGACCTTCTTGCGACCACAGTCCGGTTTACTATTGGCCAGATATTTTTCTAAAAACATCTTCAAACATTTTTGACAATTATATTCATTCTATGTTTTTTGTCTCTCTTCAAAACTGATTGATTTACTCGTTCATGGCATTTTTCAATTAGATAAACTGCTAAGTTTTATCTCATTACATTTTCACATGTATACACATTAGGTTTCTTTTCGACTGTTTAGTGCGACCTCGCTCAAATCAATATATTCTAATAACCTATTTTGAGCCATTCATGAGGTCAGTTATGGGAAATCACCATTGATGCATTTGAAACAGATTATGAGTTCAAAATATGGCCTACCGTACGCTTTATCGTCACAACACAATCCGATGACGAAACCTTTAATACATGTTGATCCTGCAGGGCATTTTGCTTTGCTGTTACATATATAACTACCGTCCTTTCTTTTCACTGGTGGTGAATTTGCGACGCAGTTATGGTAATCCACTAAAATCAGTAGTTTTTTGATAGTGATAGGATGGTCTAAAATGGCTTATTCTTGGCAGCACTCACTGGAATACACCTTATGGAGCAACTGAAACTGTCCTCGAAGTTGTTTTCATTTCCACCACATCCTGTGTATTTAAATGGAAGGCACGTCAGCGTTTTGCTATCGAAATGGTACTGAATATAATATCAGTAAGGTGAGAATTTTGAACAGCGAATAATACAATGAAGAATAAATTGAAATGCGGAGAATCTGAAACTTTAATCAAACACGGATGGAGTAAGCTAATATGCTTATGTTTGAAGATCGTCATATATATTTTGTAGATCATTTCAGACTTCCTCAGCACCCTGTCATATGGTTTGTGATATTCGTAAATATCTACTGTGATGTATAATATGGTTTCCTCATTCAGCAAATTTTATCAAACCGGATGGGTTGATGAGTTCCTACATATCACCAGTGGCGTAATGTTGGTATAATAAAGAGCGATTAAAAAAGTTTTTTTGAAGACCACTATTGAAGGCTAGAATATTTAGAAAACCATGCTAATCAATGAAGCGATAAAAGGATAATTTATAACTTTTTTGCTCTGTTTGCGGTTGATAATGGCTCCTTTCAATAGGTTTGGAAAAGTTCTGAGAAAATACTTGTAACTTTTTTGAGTGGCTGCCATTTTTGGTGTTTTTGTTCCCATGTGAAATCTCATCTTTCTTCTAGTCTTCTCGTAAAGGAATCGGACCATCGGGTTGATGGTCTTTCTGTAGAGAGCTTGATATCGCGAGGAATCCATCGACAACTTTAATCAAAGGGCTTTCGCCCATCGGTTGTCGTTGAAAAGCATCACGTGTCCGGCCCAGCTTATTTTCTTTATCCTTGCGTGTAGAACGGCGTCTCTGATTTTCGATCGCTGACGTAGGTCGGAACTTCGGATCCCTTCTCTCATTTGCGAGATACGGGATACTCCTAGCAGCGACCTTTCAACTGCGCGTTCAATAACACCAAGTAATCTTTCACTCTGCCTACGTAGCGACCAGGATTCTGATGCATACATTAGGGCAGAGAT